CACAGTTCGGGGTCAGGGCACAAGCCTGGGCTGCAGGCTTAGTCACCCCCCCCACACCCGTGTGGGGTGTACAGGAGGCAACTGACCAATGATTCTCTCTCATCGCTGATGATGTTTTATCTCTCTCTCCCTCTCCCTTCCTTTCTGAAATCGTGTGTGTGTGTGTGTGTGTGTGTGTGTGTGTGTGTATTTAAAGATGAAGTTCGAGCCAAAACTGGTTTGGCTCAGTGGATAGAGTGTCAGCCTTCAGACTGAAGGGTCCCGGGTTTGATTCCGGTCGAGGGCACGTACTTAGGTTGTGGGCACATCCCCAGTAGGGTGTGTGCAAGAGACAGCTGATCAATGATTCTCTCTCATCGATGTTTCTAACTCCCTATCCCTCCCTCTTCCTCTCTGTAAAAAAATCAATAAAATATATTTTAAAATAAATATATTTGTGTAGTGAGTCATCGGATGAATCAAGCACAGCGAAATATAAATATTAAAATAAATAAATAAATAAATAAAGATGAAGCTCGGTCCGAAATCTTGGAACTACGGATTCCAAAGGAATAAACAGGACTCTTGAATGCCCTGTAGGCTCCTGCCTCTCTCTCAGGCCCCAATATCCCCACGTCAGGCCCTAGTTTTCAAAATCCTGTTAAAAAAGACATACCCCACACTCCCAACCCCTTTACATTCTCAGGAAGAAAGTGCCAAGCTTACCCAAGTGCAGAATGGCTGCTTTGGGTGGTCTCTGTTCTTCAGGGGGGTGGTGGGGTTCTGTGCTTCACCCCCCACCCCTGGCACCCAGAGGCCTGGCCTGCCCGGAGCCACACGTGGCTCCCAGTGGATCAAACCTCATCACAGCCTGGGCTGCCTCAGGACCAGCTGCCTCCACTATGACCCCGCCCCTCCCTGGCTTCAACCGGCCAATCAGTGGAGACCTAGACCCTGAGAGGCTGCACCTGGAAAGCTGCTGGATGTTCTAATGAGCCCCCCCCCCGCCCCCCGGATTCTTCTCCTCCTCCTCCTCTTCCTCCTCCTCCTCCTTCTCCTCCTCCTCCTTCACTTCTCCTCCTCTTCCTCCTCCTCCTCCTCCTTCACTCCTCCTCCTTCACTTCTCCTCCTCTTCCTCCTCCTCCTTCTCTTTCACTCCTCCTCCTTCACTTCTCCTCCTCCTCCTCCTCCTCCTCCTTTCCTCCTCCTCCTCCTCCTTCTCCTCCTCCTTCACTCCTCCTCCTCCTTCACTTCTCCTCCTCTTCCTCCTCCTCCTCCTCCTTTTCCTCCTCCTCCTCCTCCTCCATCTTCTTCTTCCTCCTTCTCCTCCTCCTCCTCCTCCTCCTCCTCCTCCTCCTCCTCCTCCTCCTCCTCCTCCTCCCACAGCAGATGAGGAAGTCGAGGCTCAGAGAGGTGAAAGGACTTGCCCCCATCACAGGGGTGAGGGGTGGAGACGGGTTCAATCAGAGCTGGTCCTTCTGACCTCAAAGCCCTCCTTCTCCTCCTACTTTTTTCTTTTAAAATATATTGTTTATTGACTTCAGAGAGAAAGAAACATCCATGATGAGAGAGAGAACCATCCATCGGCTGCCTCTTGCACGCCCCCTCCTTGGGAGGTTCCAGCCTGCAATCCAGGCCTGTGCCCTGATCTGGAATGGAACCGTGACCTCCTGGTTCATGACGCTCTACCACTGAGCCGCACCGGCCAGGCACAGCCCCGCTGCGTAACCACTCGCCTGTGGCTGACGAGAGGACTTGTTCCGGGGCCCAGGTTGTATTCCTAACGGAAATGTCTGAATCTGCGATCTTCAGGCTCGTCGAGCAAGCTCCGGCTCCCCCGGCAGCTTGCTCCCCCACAGCTGGCTGGGCAGCCGCCCCCGGGGCCCCATCCTGCTGTCTGCAGCGAGGTCTGGGCGTGCGCGTGTCTCCCAGGCCCCCAGGCCCGGCTCTGCGGGGGTCCCAGTGGTCTCGTCAGTCACGGATGGTTAGGGGTGATGTACGGGCTCCCCCCACCCCATGGCGGAATGTCCTCTCCCCTGGGCCTGAGGCGTCGAGGCTGCCGCTCCCTGCTGGGTGACCGTGGGCACGTCTCACCTTCTCCGGACCCAGCGGTCCCACCTGTACAGCATGGCAGGGGGAGACGGAAGCCCTTAGTCCGCTGGGCAAGACTGGCAGAGCGGCCGAAACCGGTTTGGCTCAATGGACAGAGCGTCGGCTTGGGGACTGAAGGGTCCCGGGTTCGATTCCGGTCAAGGGCATGTACCTTGGTTGCAGGCATATCCCTAGTAGGGGGTGTGCAAGAGGCAGCTAATCGATGACTCTCTCTCTCACCGATGTTTCTTAAGTCTGTATCTCTCTCCCTTCCTCTCTGTACAACATCAATAAAATATATTTAAAAAAAAGACTGGCAGAGGGGGTAGGAGAGGGGTTTGGAGTCAGACTGGGCCTGACATCTGACTCTGGGGAGCTGTGTGACCTTGGGCAAGTGACTTACCCTCTCTGTGCTACCGGTTATTATCCCGGAAATGAACCGGTTAGACTAGGTCGCTTTTTACGTGTAAATCTCGCTGCATTAACAGTGGGGGTTGGTGCGGGAAGAGAGGTGAGGTTCTGAGGCCGGTCATGTTCCCCCTCCACCTGCCCAGGCCTTTGAGGTGACCCTGCTCCCTCCCTCTCTCCTTCCGTCCCCCTTGCCCTCCCCCCCCCTTCCTGTTTCCTCTGCACACAAGCTATTTTCTGCAGCCTTAGCTCTGCGATCAGATCTGTGGGCACGACCAGGGCACCCTTGGCGAAACCACTTCCCCTCGGTGGCCGCAGCACCCTCATCTGTGAAATGGGCACGTGACACCAGCTGCACAGAGAGCGCTGTGTCCAGGGCTCGGCGCCAGGTCCGCCCCTCTCGGTCTGTTCTCTAATGTGGAGGCGAAGGGCGGGGCTCCGGAGCCAGGCAGCCCGCTCGGAACGCTTCCAGCCGCCCAGCTGTTGGCCTTGGACACGGGACCTAACCTTTCTGCGTCCCAGTTTCCTCGCCGGTGAAATGGGGACAGACGTTAGTTACTTCCCGGGGTTGCAGCGAGGACAAGGAGCAAGTGCCCAGCACATTGCCAGGCTGCTCGCCGTTTGGATGGTCCCCCTGATGATGGCGATGATGATGATGATGATGATGATGATGATGATGATGATGGGATGATGCAGACGTTAAGCCAGGCACGGTGCTGAGCTGGGGACAGAGCAGGGGACGAAATACATCCCTTCCCCAAGGAGTTCCCAGAGCAAGGGAGGGACACGTTCACAGGGAGGGACACGTTCACAGGGAAGGACACCTTCACAGGAGTCAGTGCTGTGATGGGGGAGTCCAAAAGGCTGAGGGAGCCCAGAGCAGAGTCCCCTCCCTTTACCCTTCCCCACAGCCCCTACACCCCAACCCCCAAGGCAGGGAAGGCTTCCCAGGAGCTGCTCCCCAAGCTCAGACCTGAAGGGGGAGCAGAGACCCTTTGGGTAATATGAACATACTCGTGGCCCAGTGCATGGATTCGTGCACACTGAAAGGAAATCAATTAGGAGAGAGATTCGTGTAGTAATTACGTGACTGCAAAAAATTACACGTCAAAATAGGTTATATAATATAGTATGATAAAATCAAAACACGCATGCGATTGGCACCAGGGAGAGCTTTATATGTATCGTGCATGCGTGAGATAACGTTAATTTTTAAATTGCCTGTGCACGTCATATGTACCGGCCGGTCCGTCGGATGGACGGGAGATCACTTAGCCTAGATGTCCATAAGGATTTTGTGTAAGAAAGTAATTGGACAAGTGTGCTCACTGTGACTAAAAAGTTGAGAATAAACTAATTAACCACCAAGAAAGTATTGATTGAATAAGCTAGGGCAGTGGTGGGCAAACTCATTAGTCCACAGAGCCAAATAGCAACAGTACGACGATTGACATGTCTTTGGAGAGCCAACTTTTTTAAACATAAACTTCTTCCAACGCCACTTCTTCAACACAGACTCGCCCAGGCCGTGGTCTTTGTGGAGGAGCCACCCTCAAGGGCCCAAAGAGCCGCATGTGGCTTGCGAGCCGTGGTTTGATGATCACTGAGCTAAAGTGCACTGAGCCGATGAAATAATTAACGGCTGGTAAAACAGAATGAGGTCCATGTTCAGAATTTGTCTGTAAGCCGCACAGGGTCTGAGCGTAGTTAAAGGCTTGATGTGTTCTGCCCGGAAATGGTGTGTCCCTGCCTAGTCCAGTCACCTATGTGATTTTTGCTTCCGTACAGCATTGAATAAAAGCAAACCTGATAACACATTGTCATCTTTGTTCATTTGATACTTAAAAAACCCCTTTGCTGCCCCGACCAGTTTGGCTCAGTGGATAGAACGTTGGCTTTCAGATTCAAGGGTCCCAGGTTCGATTCCGGTCAAGGGCATGTACCTTGGTTGCGGGCACATCCCCAGTAGGGGGTGGGCAGGAAGTAGCTGGTCGATGCTACTCTCTCATCGATGTTTCTAGCTCTCTAGCCCTCTCCCTTCCTCTCTGTGAAAAATCAATAAAATATATTTTAAAAAAAAACCAACCCCATTGCTGTTTCAATTTACAATAATAATAATAATAATAATAATTAATAATAAAAGAGGGAGCAGGAAGGGCACCCAGCTGGAAGAAACAGCAGGCACGGAGGCCTGGGATGAGAGGCGCCAGAGTGTAGGGTCTCCGGGCAGCCAGATGTCTGGAGGCCCTTGTAGGGAGCACAGTGCTTCCCCAGCTGAAGTGCTCCCCACTTGTGCTCAGCCAGCGGGCACGGCTCCCAGCTGGGTTGGGCCGCCAGAGGGGCGGGTTGACCCCAGCAGGCTTTGCCACCAGCCACCACCCAGCAGCCCTGGCTGGCAGGGACAGCCTCCCAGCAGCCCCCACTCCCTGCAGCTGGCCGCCCCCGCCCTGCCTCCCTCATCGGCCCAGTTTCCTGCCCCTCCCTCCCTCCCGCTCTCCTCCCTCCAGCTGTTTCTCCGCAGGAGCCTGTCCCCTGTGGGACAGCAGCCCCAACCAGCCCGGAGCTCAGCACAGACCGCTGTCTCCCCAGGAGCCTCTGGGGGCGAGGGTGCTCCCGGGCGGGGGCGGGGCTGCACTGTGTGGGGTTCTAGGGGATGTGGAAGGCACAGAGGAACTGCTTTCTGGGCACACGGCCACAGCCAGAGAACAGTGTGATTGGGAGACAGAAGCCGGCAGCTGGGCTCCTGCACAGCCTCGCATGGCCTGACGTCCAGGGAGCCCTCGGGAAGACCTGGGCGGAAACCAGCCTCAAGGTACCAGGGGTGGCTTTGGCCCCGTCCGCAGGGGCCAGGAAAGGGGAGTTCCCTAGTCCAGGAGAGACTAGTTAACTAGAACCTCTTTGGTTCTTCTTAAAAGTTAACTTTTTATCCAAACGACTAGAACTCAGTTCGGATGCTCAGATTTCCGAAGTCAGGCATGCACACTGCGAGAACCAGCCGGCTCCCCGGAGTTTTAAAAGCAGGAAGCTCAGAGCTTCCCTCCGTCCCTCTGCTACTCTCACAGCCGCCCCACGAGGGAGGTGCTTTCCGAGTCCCCATTTTACAGATGAGGAAACTGAGGCTCAGAGAGGGGAGGGCGCGGGCTCAGGGCTGTGGAGACAGTCAGCTGGGAGGTCAAGATTGGAATGAGCCCGGCCCGCGCGGCTCCGTGGTTGAGCGTTGACCTATGAACAGGAGGTCACGGTTCAGTTCCCGGCCAGGGCACATGCCCAGGGTTGAAGTCTCCATCCCCATTGGAGGAGGGCAGCCGATCAATGACTCTCATCATTGATGTTTCTCTCTCTCTCTCTCTCTCCCCCTCTCCTTTTTTCTCTGAAATCAATAAATTTTTTTAATTTTTATTATCAAAGATTGGGATGAAATGAGGGTCATTACCGCGGGGCAGCCCTAACTCCTAGGACTGAGACAAAAGAGGGGCCCCTCGCCCAGAGATGGTTTTGCAGGTGCCGTCCCCATCCGTCACTCCCTCACCCACTCACTCATGGTGCCCATGATGTTCGCTGGGCGCCTGCGATGTACCGGACACATGTCAGCATGTAAATGTGGATACACACACTCACTCCCCGCCCCCCTCCAGTTTCTTTTTTTCTTTTTTAATATATATATATATTTTGATTTTTTTTTACAGAGAGGAAGGGAGAGGGATAGAAAACCAGAAACATCCATGAGAGAGAAAAACATGGACCAGCTGCCTCTTGCACACCCCCTACTGGGGATGTGCCCGCAACCAATGTCCATGCCCTTGACTGGGATTGAATCTGCGACCTTTCAGTCCGCAGGCGGGCGCTCTAACCGCTGAGCCACACCGGTTTCGGCCAGTTTCTAACATTAGATTTATTGGGGCGGCATGGGGTTAAATGACTGCTAGGTCTCCAGTGTACAGGTCTATCACACACCACCGTCTACTCTGCTCTTGGGGGTGAGTCTGCTCACTCAGACGGGTGTGGCTCAGAGAGGGGGGTGAGGCCGCGGCCAGGCCCTGGGTCTTGGTTTCTCTTTCCTCGAAGGCCCGGAGCCCCCCGTTTCCCTTCTGGAACCTCCCCACCGCCCCCACTTCCTTTTTAAGACCAACCTTCTTGCCGCTCTCGCTGTCTCTTTTGCTTCCTCCGACTTGTCGAAAGGAAAAACTTCTCCAATGCCCGCGCCGCTGAGAGGAACAGCCTCGGCTAACGCAGGCCTCGCGGCTGCTGGCGGGAGGAAGGCGGCTTGGCCTCTGCTTAGAAGGTTTTTAACGGAAACCCCCGCGAGGATGCTCACGCCGCGGGGGGCCTGGCATTGAGGAGCCCCAGGGAGGAGTTCTTTATCGCTGGGCACACAGGGGCGTCCGCTGGACTCCTCCGGACCCCAGCGAATAGACAAACTTGACTTTGGGTAAGTTACTCCCCTCTTTGGCTGAGTCCTTGTGGAAAAGTCCCCCCACCCCAGCCCCTCCAACAGGGTCCACACCTATCTCCACTCTTGGTGCCTGTACTCACCCATCACAGCGCCTATTGCGCTCTCTTGCAATTGCCCGTCCTGCTGTCTGTCTCCTCTGCGGGCCTGGAAGCTCCTTGAAGCCACAACAGGGTATTATTCTTCTTCTCTCTGGATCCCCAACCCTCTGCACAAGACCTAGCATGTAGCAGGTGCTCAGTTACTCGTTCATAAGTAACGTGGTCAGGCCTCAGTTTCACCATCTGTAAAATGGGACGAGGGAGCTAGACTGAAGCCTCATCTCTTAGATGTTTCCTTAACTCCTGTCCGCTGGCAAACCATGTTACTGCTATCGTTTTCTCGGATCCTCAGCGTGGCTGCTATGATAAAATTGCTATCCATACGTCTGTTTGACAGATTAGGAAACTGAGTCCCGGTGAAGGGTTCTGATGTTAGACCTCCATAAAAGGCAATAGAGCACTATGGCTACGGGGTTAGGTTCTGTTGGTGTGTGTGTGTGTGTGTGTGTGTGTGTGTGTGTGTGTGTGCTTGATCCTGGTCTGCCACCTGCCACCTTAGTGACAGAGAACAAGCTATGCCTTATCTCTATACCTCAGTTTCCTCATCTATAAAATGGGAGTATGAATAGTAATTACCTCCTAGGATTGTGAAAAGATTAAATGAGATGATATTTGAGGAGCACATAGCAGTGGGCTTGTCCTGTAGCAAGCGCTCTATAAACAGTAGCTATTATTCCGTTATCATTTCTATACCACCGTACTATCTACACCTGTGACACCCCTGTGAGCCAAGTAGAAATAATTATTGATTTCTTTACCAGCCGATGATCAATGTCCAGGTTCCTGTCAGTGTACAAGAAAACCAAAAGCCAGTTTCATTCTCTTTGAGCTACGCTTGCAGAGGTGCAGGTATCAAGGCCAGTTTTGAGGCTACGAAGTAGACTCAAGACTTCTCAAAGTGGAATCCTGGGATTCCTGACATTCTGATCAATAATCCTGAGAATCCTGAGTATTTCTTAGAGGTTCATTTTTCTGAGTCAGAATATCTGAGGGTAAGCAGTGCAAAGTTTGCATTTGGAAGCCACTTCACGGAGGAGTCTGATGCACCCCAAACCGTAAGAACCGTTGCGCTAGAGGACTCGGCCGCCTTTTCCCCTTGCCTTTGCCCAGGTTTCTGGGTTCTTCGCTGCACACTGGGGTTTGTTTTTTTCCTTTCTAAGCAGATATAAGTGTACTCTTTGCAAGTTATACCCTGTGTCAGCAGTTGAGGTCAGGAGGCATGGTGGAGAAGAAGTGAAACTTTGTTGTGTTGTACCACAGAAAGCAGATTGTGTGCAGACTTGGGAAGTATCTTAAGCCACAGAATCCTTTGCTCCAATGAAAATATATGGAGGAAACAGATCAAGGTGCTGCTATCCTAATTGAAACAGGAGTGGAGGGCTCTAGACTTCAGCTCACTAAACATCACTCTCATCGCTAACGGACCTTTAAGAATCACAATAGCTCTGTGGAGCAGGTGGAAGATTGCAGACTCACTCCAAATTGTTAGAGACCAAAGTTTTTGCTCTGTGACCAAAGTTTTGCTCTGTGACCTTGGACAAGGTACTCTCTGGCCATAATCATCTACACAAATAAAAGAGAAACATGCAAATTGACCCTACCTATGTGACACCCATGAGCCAATCAGGAGCGAGTATGCAAATTAACCTACAAAAGATGTTGAGATAATTTGCATACAAAGGCATAGAGTGGCTGGGCAGGGGGGCAGAGGGAGCTACAGGAGTGATGCTCCAGCTGGGAGAGAGGACTTGCAGGCTCCTGGGGGGCCGGGAGCAAAGCCAGGGAAAGGAAGGCCTATTGTTGCACAAATCTTTGTGCAACAGGCCTCTAGTTTGTAAATAAGAATGTTGTATTTGTCAGGTCAGGGTAATAGCTGTTGTAACAGATAGACCCAAATGCATATACTGGCTCAAACAAAACAGGTGTTTATTATAAGGCAGGCATTTCTGAATGGAGGGTGCTTCTCCTCCACATGGCGATGCAGGGACCCATCTCATGTCCCTACTGTCCCCATGGGCATGTCGCTGATGAAGGAATGCATGGAGGTGGCATGCTTGCTTCTGAACTGCCTTCCACCACACCTAAGAACTAATTGTGTGACCAATCTAGTTGCAAAGGGGGCTGGGAAATGGAGTTTCCCAGCGACAGCCGTGTGTTGTAGAGGGGAGATTGTTTTTTGTGGACAACTGGCTTGTCCTGGCCACAGGTATGGTGGTTTCTTGGGTCTCTTCCATTCTCTGATCGCAAGTCTACATTTCTGTCAATCCCCAACCGAGAAAATTCCTACATTCCGGGCCCTAAACACGGGTTTCCCTGGAACATAGTCAACAGCTGCTCTCTTTCCCTCTGGAAAAAGGAAGCCAGGCTAACAATTTTTATTGAGCACAGCACATTTACCGAGCCGAAGCTTTTCATAACCACGATCTCACTTGATCCCCTTACGACCCTGTGGTGAAAGGTTTCAGGATTATCGTCCCCATTTTACAGGTGGGGAAAACGAGCCTCAGAGAGGAAAAGGGGTCTGCCCAAGGTCACATATAGGTCATAAGCAAAAGAACTCGGAGTTGAACTCAGAAAATCCTCCTCCTGCCCTAGGGTCTCACTGCCTGTGCATATGTATGCCAACACGTGTGCACACACAGGTGGGTGTGAAAATGCAGGGATAGGAACCCGAGTCCCTAGAAGGAGCCACACGTACTGATTATAAGGCAGCTGGGGATTGTTCTTGCCTGAGGAAGGCCGGTGACGCTGCGGTCAGGACCAAGCCAGGCACGTAGTGGGTGCTTTGATCGACTTCCTGTGTGAACAGGCCTGCGGTGGAGGAAAGGTCTATGAATGTGAGAACGCAGGATGAGTCAGGCCCAGTTCCTGTTCTGAAGGCCTTCCAGGAGGGGGAAGGAAGCAAGCTTGTGGCAGACACTTTGTGCTCGCACCTTCCGTGTGTCTGACACTCCCTCCGTAAGCCAGGAGGATGAAAAGGACAGGGTTACCTGCCCCCATTGGAGAGAAGAAGAAAGCGAGGCCCAGATGGGTTAAGGTTGTTTGGTGGGACTAGGACCTGGGGCTCCTGGTCCCTAATCTCAGCCTCTTTTCATGCCTCTAGGGGGAGGGAGGAGGCCCTGGGCCGGGCCTCGGTGGCAAGGAAGGGGGGTTGGCAGCCACTGGGTGCTGCTGCTGGACTCCAGGACATGCTGGCTTCAGGCAAAATTAGGAAACTTGGTTTTACTTCTCTTTCGGAACCTCCCTGTTTTTGCAACGATG